ACATGAATGCAATTACATGTACTCACACATCAATAAATAAGGTAACCTTAGACACAATATAATCATGATAAATATAATAATTTCAAACACAATATAATCATGATAAATAGAATAATTTTAAACATAATATAATCATGATAAATCAATATTCAACTACTATGAAATGTTAATTAAAGATGAAAGAAAATCCTCCATGGTTAAATCAATACAAACTTGTCATATAAACTTATTTTAAATTCCACATCTAATTCGAACCAAAATAATTCGAACCAAAAGTAAATCCAAAATCTTCCACTCAAAGGAATATGTTCGGAATTAAATTTAGAATTTTAATTTCAAGTGTCAATTGTTTAAACATAATTTTTTGTTTAATTGAATCAACTTAAATTAAAATCACAAACTACGAACAGTGTCATCTCTTTGAAAGACGTATTCCAACTGAATCAAACTATTACAAACGTTCTTGTTTTTTAACATTTAAGGCCATTAATATTCGGTGATTGTGTGCTAATTGATTCACGCACTAACTGATCATGACAACATGAGATGTGTCGAGGAAAACATTAAAATGTGTTTATATTTTAAAGATAGAAAAGAAAGTGCGTGATGAGCTAAAACAAGGTGGAAAACTTCTTTGCTACTGTTCATGCCAGCTTCCATTTTCGTCGCCTACGAAGGTGACAAGGGAAAAACAATAAGAAAGATTCCACTTGCAAAAGCTGTAAGAAAAAGTAAACAATGTTTGACAAACTGCACTCTCACGCGGAATCAATCTTTTTGCATTATCACTGTATCACACAAGCCAACCTCATAATATAATCTCTCTTCGCCACATCATTTCAATATTATACACGTCAACTTTCGATACAAAGCCGACTTTGCTTACTCACTTTCACAAGGTTGACCAAACAAGCCCTATAAAACACCTCTTACTCTCTCATTCTTTTCCACAGTCCCTCTCATATACTCATTGCATTTGATCACTTCACTTGGCCTGCTGCATTTGCATTTGCAACCCTTTCCTCACAAAAAATGGAGCCACGCAGTTTCTACTCTCTGCTGTTTCTTTTGCTTGCTTTAGCTTCTGTAAACTCAGTGCATGGCCAAGGGACACGTCAAGGGTTTTATTCCAGTTCGTGTCCTCGTGCCGAGTCCATTGTTAAGTCCACAGTTCAATCCCACGTTAAGTCTGATCCTACTTTGGCTGCTGGCTTGCTTCGGATGCACTTCCACGATTGCTTTGTGCAAGGTTGTGACGGTTCTGTTCTCATTTCCGGTTCTAACACTGAGAGAACAAACTTTGCTAACCTTGGTTTACGAGGATTTGAGGTTATCGATGATGCAAAGACACAACTCGAGACTGCATGCCCCGGTGTTGTGTCTTGTGCTGATATCCTTGCCCTTGCTGCCCGTGATTCCGTTGTTCTGGTAATTAATTAACTTAAACTCTTTACACCATAAACAATAGTTTATGTTCTAATCAATTTGCAAGTTGATGAGAGTATATTTTATTGGTGTCATTTTTGCATGGCAGAGCGGTGGACTGAGCTATCAGGTTCCTACTGGACGCAGAGATGGACGCGTATCACAGGCCTCTGACGTGAATAACTTGCCTGCTCCTTTTGACTCTGTTGATGTTCAGAAGCAAAAATTCACAGCCAAAGGCCTCAACACTCAAGACCTCGTCACCCTTCTTGGTAATAATCACCCTTCAACGTATTATAGCTTGTTTACACACTTCAAGTCAATGAATGAATATATCATAGTTAAAGTTTGAAAATTGAACTCATTTCGTCACGTATAATATAATAGTATCACGCTTGCTTTGTGACAGCTCAGTTATTACAATAAGCATAGTTCTTTACACATTCGTATCTGATACCCCCATTAGAGTAACATCTTTTTCTGTCTTTTTGTCATCATTGTCAAGTGATTTGACGTTGTTTTATATCATTATGTTTGTTTTTGTTGAATATACAGGTGCACATACCATTGGAACAACAGCTTGCCAGTTTTTCAGTAACAGATTATACAACTTCACTGCAAACGGTCCTGATCCTTCCATCGACCCTTCATTTATTTCTCAACTACAATCGCTATGCCCACAAAACGGTGACGGTTCAAAACGCGTTGCCCTAGACACGGGTAGTCAAACAGCATTTGATTTATCTTACTATAATAATTTGAGGAGAGGACGCGGAATTCTGCAGTCTGATCAAGCCCTCTGGAACGATGCTTCCACTCAGAAAATTGTGCAGGGGTACTTGGGCTTGATAAGAGGGTTGCTTGGATTGAAATTCAACGTGGAATTTGGAAAATCTATGGTGAAGATGGGAAACATTGAGTTGAAGACTGGCACTGATGGTGAAATTCGCAAGATTTGTTCTGCCATCAACTAGCCACTTCAAACAATTAATATATTGCTTCAAAAGCTGGTTTTATTTTGTCTCTGTTATTGGTATATGCATCTCAAGTGTATCATGTACCGATATCTTTTCATTTTGGAAGTGTAAAATTTACAGAAAATTGATGTGATACAATAAATATAGTCTTTTTAAATGATTTCTTAAATTAAAATCTGTTATAAATTGAAATAACAACCAGTAAATACTGATCAAATTTAATTTTTTTCGTACAAAAAATCAGTTATAATTAAAGCCAATAGATTCTACGTGCCAATAAATAGTGACAGAAGTTTAGTTATGGTAGTGTTATTGACAATTTTATACATTTACAGCGACGATTATGTGTAATCTCAAGTGAATTGCCGATAAATTAATGTTAAAACAACTTGACTTCCTCTGTTGAGAGCTTAAAATATTAATATCCAAACTAACAAAAATTGTTTTAAATGCTTTTCCTTCGATAATATTTACATATTTTAACTAAAAAATAACTTCAATATATTTTTCCAATTTTTTTTAAGCTAACATTCTACGTTCTATCCGAAAGTTAACTATTGTTTGTAATCATTGATGTTACATTATGTTGGATGAGCCAAATCTAATAACTATGACATCTTCTGTCGTTACAAGAAAATGAAAGGTAATATGTATTATTTAAACCTACATAATTGCACGATGTCCATAGTTTTCTTTTTTGGGTTCTGAACAAACATTTGCATTAATTATAAACAACATTATAGAATACGAAATTATCGTATTGGTGAACCCAAAGTATCATCAAGTCTGTCTCAGATGATAGATGAGAATGAGTTGGATACGAAATAAGGGACGAAAAGAGACAATTGCTTGGAAGTTTCAATCTTACACAGTGTCATATGTGTGTGTGGGAATGGAATATTAACTATTCATAATTACGCATCGTGATCTTAAAAAAGAGATAGCATGATGTTGACTTTTGAAGTAAACTTATATGAAGACGAAAATCATTTTATTGCATTTAGTACATGTATATATGTTAATCATCAGTAAACATTCAAACCAGAACGTAACTGTTGTTTAAATTAAGGGTAAAAAAAGTCTATGAATTTGAGTTATTGGTTAATTAGGCCTTTGCTTTAACTTACATATGTCAAATCAATAACCTTTTTTTATTTTATCAAGAAAAAAAATCATAGAAAGCCAAATCATTCCTTCTTATTCTACCAATCTCAAAGTTTATATTCAAATAATTTAATTGAAATTACATCCAAATTTATTCATTATAAATTCAAATAATTTAAATTGAAATTGCATCCAAATTTATATTTTCTAAAAAAATCAGTTTCACTTTTAGAGGTTCAAATTCAAATAATTTGAATAGAATCCAAATCCACATTTTTTAAAAGAAACTGTTTTGGATATTTACAAATCCATTTGATACCCATTTGTAAATGATTTTTTTTTTCAAAATTGTTTGTAATCCTACATAATTTACAATTAATGATAAAAAATATTTATTGAATACACACTTTATTCAACGCAATAATAAATAAATGATATAATAAAAAATAAAATAAAAACAATAAGTTAAATGTTTGCATAGAAAATTCATATGCCCTTACTAAATAAATATGAAGTAAAAATATAAAAAAATATAATGTGATAAAATATATTTATGCATTTTACCTAATTAAATGTTATAATTACTGACAACATGAAAAAATAACTCTTGATGACAAAAATTAAAGTCAACCTTTAGTTAAATCACTGAATTTGGATTAGATATGACCACATTGATCATATTTTCCATCATTCATCAAACTTTTATCATTGATTTGAAATTTGAATTATTCAGTATTTTGAATATTGTAAAAGAAAATTTAAATGAATGTGGATAACGAATTGAGGTGGATTGCACATAAAGAACACGACTCTTGTAGTGTGTTTCCACGGACCAACGTGTGATTTTTTGTGAAGTTTAGCTTTTGCTTTTGACATTTAGATGTTTGAGTTTTTCGTCAGAGATTCCACCTTTTTGCAAGTGGTGGTCGTCACTGATCGTTATGGGAAAAAGCATACAAATAAGCTTTGACTAAATATATATTCTCACACCAACGCGCTATCATTTGTATTTTTCCAATCCAAAACCCAAAACTAAACAAAACCCGTGACTCTCAGGACACTTGCGTTGCATGCAGTTTAAACTAGCCGGCTCTGCTTACTCTTTATCCAACGTTTGACTTTTTTGTTTATATCTTCCAAAGTTCATCACACACTCCTATAAAATACCTACATATACATCACATTGCATTCCACAGAATCATACATTATCATCTATTTCGTATATTAATCTTGAATTATTTCTCATTGAGTGGTGGTGCAGTTGCAACAGTTTTCTTGAGAAAATAATGGAGGGACGGAGTTTGTGCTCACTGATGTTTCTTTTGCTTGCTTTGGCCACTCTGAACGTTGTGCATGGCCAAGGGACGCGTGTAGGGTTCTATGCTAGAACATGTCCTCGGGCTGAGTCCATTGTTAGGTCCACAGTTCAATCCCACGTGAGGTCCGATCGTAGTTTGGCTGCTGGGCTGCTTCGGATGCACTTTCACGATTGCTTTGTACAAGGTTGTGACGGTTCTATTGGAACAGGCCCAGCACTGTGCACTTACAACGTTGATGGCCCAATTCCCTTCTTGGCCCATGTACCTTATTAATCTGAAAGCAGATTGCATGCGTGGCATAATGCAACAATGAAATATCGAGAGAGAGAGAAAGACGAGACGGAGCGAGAGGCGATGGAGGGTGAAGAGAGCGACGACTCCCTCCACGGCGATCTGAGGCGGTGGTGGCCGGAGCTCCAGAAGGAGAAAGTGTAGATCGGAAGACGGTAAGTAACGTAAACTAAACCTTTCTTTATTCTGTTAAAAATGATAGAGTCTGAATACATTGACATTAAGGTAAAAAGGGTAAAGGAACCCTATATATATAGGGTTCCATGAAAGGGGGAAAAACAGAAGAACAACAAAAATAAGTTAACTGTTGAAAGACAGTTAAGAGAATCAACAGTGATTCTCAATAGCCTCCCCTCAAGCTGGACAGTGTATGTTTACCAGTCCAAGCTTGGGAATAATGGTTCCAAATTTGACGCGATGCGGAAATTTCGTGAAGATATCAGCAAGCTGTTCTTCGGACCGGACGGGGAGAAGATGTAAAAGGCGCTCCTGGAGTTTTTCACGAACCACGTGACAATCAAGCTCTATGTGCTTGGTGCGTTCGTGGAAACTTGGATTGTGGGCTATGTGGCGAGCCGATTTGTTGTCGCAATATAAAACAGGAACCCCAGATTCTTCAATTTGAAGGTCTTGTATAAGATAATGGAGCCACTGTATTTCGCATACAGTGGCAGCAAGGGCCCGGTATTCAGCTTCAGTAGAAGATCTGGAAACAGTCTTCTGCTTCTTAGATTTCCAGGAAATGAGGGATGATCCAAGGAAAACACAAAAGCCTGTGGTGGATCTCCTTGTGTTAGGACAAGTGGCCCAGTCGGAGTCACTAAAAGCCTTTAGTTGTTTTGGAGATTCAGCTGCAAAGAATAAACCTTCAGATGGTGAGGACTTTATATATCTTAGTATATGTTGAACAGCTTGATAGTGATAATGAGTGGGTTTTTGCATAAATTGACTGAGAAGATTGACAGTAAAACATAAATCGGGTCTAGTATTAGTAAGGTAGAGTAACTTCCCTATCAGTCTTCTATAGGATTCAGGATCATTCAAATAGTTGTCCTCTTTGTATAGAGTGCTGGTGTCCTTTAGAAAGGGAGTAGAAGAAGGCTTGCAACCTTCCATCCCTGTTTCCTCAAGTATGTCCAGGGCATACTTCCTCTGACATAGATGAATTCCCTTCTTGGATCTTGCCACTTCAAGTCCAAGGAAGTATTTAAGTTCTCCAAGATTTTTTATACGAAACCTTTTGTGCAAAAGCTCCTTTATGCAGTTTATTTCTTCCATAGAATTTCCTGCTAACACAATATCATCCACATATACAAGTAGAGCAGTAAAACCAGTAGCAGTTCTTTTGGTAAACAATGAGTGATCGGATTTGGATTGACTGTAATTCACAGATATAAGAAAGGCAGATAACTTCTCAAACCACTGCCTACTGGCTTGCTTTAAACCATATAAAGACTTATTTAGCTTACAGACCAAACCTTCTTTACTAGTATCCATACCTGGGGGTAATTGCATATACACTTCTTCATTTAAATCTCCATGTAGGAAAGCATTATCAACATCAAGTTGGTGTAAAAACCAATTATTTGAAGCAGCAAGAGCAATAAGAAGTCTAACAGTAGTAAGTTTAGCTACAGGGGCAAATGTGTCAAGATAGTCTATTCCTTCCTGTTGGGTATAACCCTTGGCAACTAATCGGGCTTTATGTCTCTCAATACTACCATCCGCTTTGTATTTAATTTTGTACACCCATTTGCATCCTATGGGGAATTTTCCAGGGGGTAATTGAGTTAGGGTCCAGGTTTGATTTTCTTCTAAAGCTTTGATTTCCTTATCCATAGCTTCTCTCCATTCAGCCTTGATTTTAGCTTCAGTATAAGATTGGGGTTCTTTGTTATTAGTAATAGTCATGATGTATTTTGAATATTTCGCAGACAAATTGCTACAATTTAACACACTATTTATAGGATAGGCAGTTTTAAAAGTATTTTTAATGGATAAAGATTGATGAACCTGATGAACATAGTCTTTTAGATAGTCAGGAGTCTTTCTGAGCCTGTTGGATCTTCTGCTTATATGGTTCTCTTGATCTTCAGTGTCGTTGTTGTTGTCTCTGTTAGCAGAGGCTTGTTCTTGTCCTTCCTGGTCATCAGACTCGTTATTGCTATTTTCAATTAAAGGATAGGAGGAGTCCTTTAGAAGATCATTGAGAGATTCAGTTTTCTCTTCACTGCTGACATTGTCTTGTCTGTCTTCTTGCATGTTGTTGTAAGGAAAGACATTTTCATAAAAGATAACATTTCTGCTTATGAACAACTCTTTTGTATTTAAATCTAAAACAGTATAACCTTTGACACCACTCTTATAACCAAGAAAAACACCTTTTCTAGCTCTGGAATCAAGTTTGTTTCTGCTATTTTCAAGTGTAGAAGCAAAGCATAAA